ATTGTGCTGGCGTTTTCAACACTCATGACCCAAGACATGGCATATGGCGAGTCATAGCTGAATGCGTTGCTCACGATTTCTCTCGTGGAAATGATCCAGTCTCGCAACTCATGCGGTGCGGGCTCTTTTTCGAGCTCTATGTTGGCGCACTTGTTCGCCTCAGATGGCAACGAAGTTAAGGGCGGTCGAGTAGCCTGCCCAAAAACATGGGGAGGTAAAACGCCGTCTCTGCCAATGGATATGGCACACAGAGAGCAACTCCCGGACGATGGCGGGCAGCACGCGGCACATAGAGAAGTGCGGCACAACGAACAAGTTTGGAAGCATGGAGGTGTCCCGGGGATGCTGGTCTTGACATTTATGTTGCACCGAGGGCAGACCCTCTCCTCAGCGGAAGATCGGCGAATATCGGGAGCTCCAATACCGCCGACGCCACCGACGCCATGCACACCCTTACCGAGTCCTGGTGGAAGAGAAAAACCAGTTGGCCCGCCAGAGTTATCCTGTGCCCCGTGGTGAGGCTGTGGATTCTGCTGATTTGTCACAGCAGCGTCAGGTCCGTATCTCCCGCGAATGACTCCCTGAGACGTTCCATGCTCAACCTGACCGGTGAAAATCCCCCCTGTAGGGGAACATCCGGGGTACGTGTTGATGGTCCCCCTCGGAACTGCTCGTCCGACTACGGGCGAAGACATTGCCCTTGGTGGCATTGGCCCGGCAGCTCCGGCGTGGGAACAGAAACCAGAATTCCCTTGGTGCGGTTCAGGACTCCGATGTGACGGATCTCCACGTGATGGCCCGGATCCAGGATCAGGAGCAGTGCCATCCTGCTGATTATGATCAGGAATGCAATCAGGTCCTCCAGGCCCCGCACTGGGGCCGCGATGCTTAGTTTTCCCGTCGGGATCAGCTCTCAGACAACCGAGGCAAATAGGTCGAACACTCGATCCAAAACGACGTACATCGTCAGGCGAAGCGATGTGTTGATCGCAGTACTCGTCCTTGCATATGAGACACCTCACAAGTCCGTGTCTCCCCCCTCTTCCTCTGCATGCGCGGCATCTAGGAAACTGATCGCTGCACTTGAAACATGAGTTACAGTCATGGTCAAAGCAGTCTTCGCAGACTGACTTGCCGCAGCTTCGGCATGGATAGCGAGGTTCCCGATGCTGTGGATGCCCTGGCTCCTCATGAGCACACCTGGCCCGGTTATCAGGGGCAGCGCCGGCAGCCCGAGCAATGGCCCTCGTTCTAGAGGGATCCCTGCCGAAGATGGGGGCTGATGGTGATGGTGGGGGTGGCCCCGAAGGAGGTGGAGGTGGAGGAGGCCTCGCCGAGCTGACGGTGCGAGCATCACGAGGAGGAGAACCTCTAGGAGCCCTTCCCTGGGTTAAGGGATCTGTGTCTCCAGATTTCTCCCATGATCCCGTTCCGGCGGTCGAACCAGCGCCAGCACTTGAGGATCCGCAGGCAGCAAGAGGTTGCTCCCTCAATTCAGCGATCTGCATGTTGATCTCATTGACCCTCAGCACAAGCTTCATAAACTGCTCTTGCATGTCCCTCGGGTTGGGGCCTAAGCTTTTGTCATGAAGGTCCTTGACACATCTAGCAATGCGGGACAATTGAAGCTTGAATTCTTCCTGTTTCTGTGAGTTCTCATTGAGGGCTCCGGATACCTTATCACTGAACTGCTTCAGGTCGGTCGCAGGAACGAGATGCTGGATATACGTCTCGACGTTCCCACGGATGGTTCTTTCTCTTGAGATGGTTCCCTCAATGTCGATGACACTGCGAGAGTTCGCCTCAACTTCGTCTTTGATTTTCCGAACCTCAGCCTCAAGGGCCCCGATCTCAGAAAACCTAAGAAGCTGGACCTTGGCGTTCTCAAGTGATTCGGCCTGCTCGCGAAGTTCAGCAGCGGATATGACGATCGAGTTAGATCTCTCATCATACATCTTGAAACGCTCATTCATCTCCTTCTCGCTTCGGGCAACCCACTCGTGGAAATCACGGAACTTAGCCTCGTGTTTTGAGAGAGTTCCGGCAACAGCAGAGAAGGATGATTCAACTTTCTTCTCGAAGGCGTCAACACGGTTATTGATCTTCTTGATCTCACCGACGCAAGCGTTGATATCATCCCTACATGAACGAATCTCAGCTCTGCATCCCTGGATTTCGGCCTTGCACCCCTTGACCTCGTTATGGATCGCGAGAAGCAGTCGTTGAAGCTCAGATGCAACAGGATGGCCGCCACTTGTGGAAGCAGACGGAGCAGGACGACTATCAGCGTCATGATCTCCGCGGCTATTCTCTTCCCTGTCGGGAGTGCAGCCCGGAGTTCCGATTTGAAAGAATGCGGGGACAACGGAGTCGTTGACCGGTTGATTCGAAGGAAGCCCTCCATATCCAGGGGCAATAGTGCTAAGACCAGGTCTCCGATTCCTAGGCGTAGAGTTAATCCCGTCATCAGTCTCCTTCTCAGACATCGGGGCGTTGGAGCTGAGCCCAGACCCCGCAGAGTGTATAGGAACGTCAATAGGATCGTGATGAGCTGGGGGATTAGATCGCAGTCGTAGAGCAGCTTCACGTCTCTCGGGTGACTCAGAGCTCCTCTTTGTGGCTCGTGAGTCAGTGCCGGTTTGTCCCGACACATTATCAAATGATGATGATCCGCGAAGTTGAGCTTGATCTGGATTAGGTTGAGTGAGATCAAGCCGTTGAGCAACGTCACCATTGAGTGGCTTAGGGGAAAGTACTTTGGCAACGCGGCTCGGCGGGAGCGATGTAGTTCGTCTCTCTGGTGTGACCTCGGCCTCATCGATTACATCAAGGATTCCAGGAATGGTTTCATCATCTTCATTTCCTCTCCTGGGTGGCTGATGGAAGGGGATGTCGAGGAGGTCAAATGGAGTAGAGCCAATACCAGGTGTATCCTGCTCGGATCCATCGCTGGTACGGTGGCTGGACTGCTCCTCGAGGTCGATGACGTCGGGGGCGGACTCTTTTCGAGCCTGACGCCGATTGAACGCCGCGAAGAGACCGGCATGGCTTCTTGACGAAGAGAAGGAAGGATTTGGGCCTGCTGTTTCGCGGCCCGCATCCGATCGACTAGTACCTGATGTCCGATTTGGCGGATTTGAGCCCGCGTTGTAGCGGTTCGCATCCCGACCTCGGGTACCTGAGGAAAGCGGTGGATTCGGACCAGCGTTGTAGCGGTCCGCATTCCGGTCGCGGGTACCTGACAGGTGAGATGATACTGCATCAGGGATGAAGTCCATATCCGCCGGACTGGGGTGATCGTGAATGATGTCAATGTCGGATGAACCTGAGACGGGAGGAGGGCCAGCTATTTGCGGCCAATCCTCAATCGCCCGTTTGCCCACCTCGGGTTGGGCCGAACCTGCAACATGAGAAGGGGAGAAATCTTCAATGGGGTCATTTTCTCCATCATGAGGAAAACCCTGAGTAGGCTCATGCGTAGGCAGGGCATCAAAAGATCTGTCAATTCGGGAAGGCTGAGACCTCCAATCAGCATCAAAAAGGGATTGAAAATCCAGATTCCCAACCGAAACGGGGGCACCCGAGTTAAAGTCGAGCCGACCGAAATCAGGCGGTGTAGCCTGCGATCCACTGCCGAGGAGTTGGTCAAACTGATCCCATGTAAGGGACCATGATTGAACCGGCTCCGGATGAGCAGCATGATGGACAGCCCGGTCCTCGATCTGGAGCGCCACGAACGGAACAGTAGGCGAAATCGATGAGGGCACCTGATTTGGAGGAACCTCAGCCTCTTCTAGAGGGGGTCCGTCCTCGATCTGGAGCACTGCCGCCGGGATAGGGGCCTCCGCATCCTCATCAAACACAACCTGAGAAAGGATCCAATCGTCCGTGATCACCCCGGGATTGGGCTCTGCGCCCACCATCGGGGGAATGGGCCACAGCCGGCTGTCTAAGCCGGGGGCAGCAGGCGCGGCGTTGCCGCGAAGGGCGTTGGCCTCGTCGTCCACGAAGCCCGGCCCACGATGAGAAGCTCCGGGGGACGCCATTGCTCGTACAAGTAGGCGATGGGAGCAGGTAGCGGGTCACGTCCCGCAACCGGATCACCAGCCCCAGCTTCTAGCTGTTACGGCTGATAACCTGCGGTTTTGGGCGAACACGAAGTAGCCCAGGGAAGCAAATGAGCACAAGGTAGATCACAAAGTGCCCACAGCACCCGGAAACACAACTCGGATGAAGCTGTGGATGATGACCGGGTTGAGGATGTGACGGTAGAAGAGGAAAATGTTTGGGGAGGTTTGAAAACACGTTGCAATAGTAAATCGGGAAGTATGCCACCAAGCCCAGGGCGCCCGCGCCGTAAAACCAGGTACCTCCTAGTGCCAGCCCTATCCCGCACCAAGCAGCAAACTACTTAATGAGGGGGAAGACCGCCGCACTATGGCGCCTGACGTTTTACCGCAGAAGACCTGTCGGGAGGTGGAAAACTTGAGCCAAACGGCCATTCGGCCGTTTTGCCACATGATGAAACAACACGTGAACAAAACACAGGCAAAAAAGAACAAGTCTAAACTTTTAATTCAGTTAAGACGTTTTCTTCAACACGTACGTCCAGGAGCTGACTCGGAACTCAGGCGGTCCAGCTCCAAAGATCTCTCTTAGTGTGCTTCAAGAAGCTTGGTAAGCCCCATATTTGATTCCCTCATGGCCCGAATCTGCACTGCTAAGCCCCACATGTTTTTGGACTCGGGTTGCTACGTAAGAGAGCCACAAATTGACAAATTGAGCTTTGAAGCCAAAAAGGCAATGAGTAATGATGTAGCCTCTGGTACACAAGGTCCTTGAATGAGTTAGTAAGTGGGGGATTTGATCCTCAGTTCCTCCACGCCCCTGTTTTTGGATTTCCCCTAAGCCGCTGAACCCGGACCAGTTTTCTGGGGGTTCTTATTTTACCACTTCCTTGGGGACATGTAAACTCGCCCCGATTTCGAAATGGATCTCGCCTCTCCATCAGCGTTGATCTCCCGCACTGCGTCCCCGAGAATCGTGCTAAAAACCTCCGCGCGCGCGTGAGCGAGGTTTCGGCACGTGGCATTTCCGGGTTTGGGATTGAGGGGCATGGAGGCTCATAGTATTCTTCCAGCAAAAGTGTTTTCAGACCATCGATGTACTCACTTGCATGAAGGACCCACAATTAAAAGGTTCACCTTTCGGGGCCATGGCAAAAAAAGGACCCAAAAAGGTTAAACTGAAAAATAAAAAGGTTGGAAAGTGAGTTTCGTACCATCAACTTCCATTTGGTTAAGGCCTTAGGAAAACATATTTCCGGTACTGATTAATTCCTTGTAAACCAACAAGTTGTTTTTTTACATATTCGTAAGAAAATGGAGGTCAACAACATGTTTGTAATTCAGTGTACACCCTTCAAAACCCATACCTCAAGATGTCGCAGGGACTCCGTGCTCAAGGGAGACCGCTGGGAAAATTGGAAGCTAAGGCGAATAAAACATCCTGAATCTTAAACCCATCCAAAAAAGGGTACTGTCAAAAAGAGACTCATCCAATGGGGGCTTGCCCTCGCTGTCTTGTTGTTTATGCGGGGAAGCAGCTGCACCGAAGACATCAATTGGCCGTAAAACATGTGTCGAGCCCATTCGGATCCAGGTGCCCTTTCTTACACATCACTTGCGCGTCTTTTTATTGGGTACTGTTTTTGCATGGATCTACAGGGAAACCACAAGGACAACACGCATAGGGGTTCCCGTATTTTGAGACAAACCTACGTAAACATCAAGGCAGGATGCTTTTCTTGCTGGTGCGATCGGCAGAGAATGACCATGACTCAGAGAACTCTGACCATGTCGCGCGTCGGGCTAGTTGAGGTCGTCAAGAACAGGCAGGTTTGATTCCTGGCAGGTCTTTCTCAGGCTACCTTGTTGGACGAATGTATGCCCAGCCAAAAAGAACGGGTATAATTTTGTGCGCCAAACTTGGTAAAAGGACCGGCCTCATTTTGTTCGGGCTCAGGTGATTGACCCCTGGCGCAGAAAATCACCTTTGACAGATGTGAGCCCGGGTCTGTCTCAAAAGGGCTGATGCACGTCCGCTGTGGATGTTCCTGGTTTCCCTAAGCACTTGGAGGAATTGGTTGCTTCTTTGACTGGTGCTCAGTAACCTGGGGGTTCCCTTGACATCCCTTGACAAGGAATGGTTTACAAGGGCCATTCCTTCATGGTTGGAGTGCTTCACCTGCCGAGGCTCATCTGCTTTCACTTCCACACGCTCTTTGTCGGCGTCAACTTGACCAGGTGATCCATCACGGATGACTTTCTTCGGGCTGGTCTAACGCGCATCACCTCGCCCCGTTGCAGTCTCCAAATTGGAATCCTCAGTGCCTGACATCCTGAGGGGTGGATAACCCCCGAGCCCCAAGCAAAAGGGGCTCACTTCTCGAGTGGATTGGGCAACAACACGTCCACACGTAGTTGTTTGGTTGCCACTCAAATTTTGGTCTTCTCAAAAAGTGATAAGCCCCGCAACCTGCGGAGTAAACATAAACGGTGCTTCTTTCAGCCACGAAACATGAATAGAGCCTACAAACTCAACAACGGAACCAACACATGCCAAACGCAGTGAAGGGAATGGAAGGTCTGTGGTTTCGGCTCGGATTCTGGGGCTGTGACCAAGGTGCCCACGCACCGACCTTGGGAGAATGCGGGCTCCCCCGAGTGAAACTCCGGCCACGGGCAAACGATGGATGAAACGCCATGCTCAAACCTGGTTCTCAGGGAGATGGGTATGGCTCAAAATTAAAGAGCTGGAGTTACGCGTGTTTTAGTCTTTGGGTCCACGTACCAAGGTGCCATTTTTGCACCACTTTCTTGAGCCACAGCCAGATGGTTGCAGGAACGAGCCGAAACCAGGAAAAAAAACAACGTCATGTAGACTTAGAGACAAAACCCACTGCTAGCTTGAAAGGGAAGCTCGCTCAATAGAAACACACGATTAGATTGTATGTTGTGCTGTCTGTTTTGGAAGAAGGTCCATAACAATACCTATATAATGTGCTTCTGTGTTCATTCAACTTTCTATGACACAATTTTTGTGGCGACAATTCAATTAAATCAATGCAAGCCAACTGTCATTGAATATTGTGATACCAATATGTAAGTAACATTCAGGTACAGTCCAGATAATGATTAAACCATGCATTAAATGAAGGTGCCCTGAGAACATATAATCCACTCCATCAACACAGTTCCAAACATGAATAGTGCAACGATTCATAAACTCAAACAGGAACACTATTGATGTCACTAATTTCAACAAACACACTGCAACTCATCTAAAGTCAGGTCAATTTCGGCCCTGTGGTTTCGTCATGCGCGCCAAAAGGGAAAGTGTTCGCTTGTAGGCCAAAATGCTTGTGGGCCACACTTGTGTGACGTAAAGAGCTACTCATTTTCACCTCGCGCCGTCTGCTAGACAGATGGTAGGTCCGCCAATCAAAGAGCGAAGCCGGCAAGCCCCAACCACACCTGCGCTTTCGGGGAGGGAAGGGAAAGGGGAGGGGAGGGGAGGGAAAGGGCCCCAAAAAATGCCCATGACTTTGAGAACCCAAACCAACACCTCCATTCTCAGAGAGACGAAACACCAGGCACATTTACCAGTCATGGCCGTTTTCATGCAAAACCAAGAAACACATATTACACCCAAACATCAATTCAGGCGAAAAGCGAGATCATGAGCCCAGGTACACTAAGGTGTAGCTTCTGACCTTGCCATCCTGATAAACAAAAACATTGGAGAAAAAGGCAACCCTTTGTTTTGCTACTATTCCGCATTGCTTCCAATTGCCACTGGCCACTTCACCCATTTCCTCTGGTTGCCTAAGTGGCTGGAAACACTGGTGTTTACCATAACCCCAAATTCAACGAGAAAGTGCCACCTACCAAACTCGGCAACTGCTGGTTTGGAGCCGAATCGGTGGTTTTGGCTAGGACTGGTCTCCCATTCACCTAGAACCATGGGTTCAACTCCAAACCACACTTGGTTGGCGTTGGCAGGGGAGCTAAAAACAACAAATATAGCAGTGAAGTGGTCGGATTTCAACCACTAAACCACCATAAGCAAAAGTTCGTAAAACATGTTTCCCAACAACAACCATGCGCTGGGGTTCAGTCGATCGAGGCTGCGGCAAGTTCCGCCGACCAGCGCGCAGGGCTTCCACCAGTCATGCAACGGGCCCGCTACTTGGGGGCTCCTCGCGAAGGCTGCGGGAAGTTCGGCTCAATTGCCTCCCTGTTGTTTTTGTCCCCTGGAGAAAAAACATATGCCCAGTAGAAATAGAGTCTCTTATTTTCTTGAGCTATTCTTGAGCAAAAGGAGTCTACAGCTGGTTTGCTGTGAAGAAAGGCTAGAAACGTCAGAGCTATAGTTGCTTCAAAGAACATGGACTCTGAAATCCATGCCTTGCTTTAACGAAAAGGAGTTAGAGAAGCCACTAGGTACGATGTCAAACCCCTGAGCCCGCGTGTGCTGTTTGGCCAGGTGTTTGCTCGAGAAATTCAGCCCGCCAAAAAACAGCGCCGAGCATGTGAATTCGGTCCCAGGTGTTTGGAACACAACTAGCACATTCACACACACACACACAGTTCAGGGTTGCCAGGCTGGCAATGGATGCTTGCCCTTGTCGTCTTTGAGCTTGAACCGGCCACAGGGCCAAAGTCGCTATTTTTCGAGGTCTTGGAAAAGGGGTGTAGCGATTTGTTTGTCCAACCAGCAAGAAGAAATGGATCCCTACAGGAACCTTGGTTGCCAACCTGCCCTTTTGAGAGGTCGCTATAGCGTGTCCAAAACCTAGCGGCACATGCAATCCTCAAGACCAAGGACATCAGTTGTGTGTTCAGCGAAGGCAATAAGATGGTGGTAGCCAAGGGGAAAACACACACTTGTAAGTGCAACGAAAAACCCAAAGGACCGCGAGTCCCCGAATTTTCCCGGGAAACTTCGTTGAGTGCTAATGGGCTGGTGCTGCACCAAGCAAAAACCGCTCGCAGGTCTACGAAAGAATGAGGATACCGTTTGAGCATACGGACCCAATAGAGAAGGAATCCGCGTGGTACGGCTTCTTTGGTATGCTCACATGAAGGGCGCTTGCAGCGGTATGGAGGTCATACTGATAATTACTCAGAGCTTATGTTGGTGGTTTGCATCCATCCCAAACCCATACGTGGTTGCCTGGAAGTCCAGTTCCAGGAAAGCTTCAAAGCTTCTTGGAGAAAACAGTTCCCGCGGTCCTAAGCTGGCGCGTCCCCTCAGCCTGACGCGTGGCCCGCTGGAAAGGGACACAACTTCCCTTGGAAAGGGAGATGCAAAGCTACTTAAACATAACAAGCGTATACACCACGACTTTTTAGGGGACCCAAATGGTTGGTTTCTCTTTAAATCTGAACACACACACACACACACACTGGGGACCCTCAAAAACAAACGCACCCATACAAAAGGGTATCATGTTTGGGGACCGAGGCAGTCTTGGCATTTTAGTTCACTAATGTTGAACCCGGATCTAAGTGGAATCCCGGGTTGGTTTTGATTGGGGGGTGTCTCCTTGTTGAGATTCAGGCTACTTTTGGAGGGGCCACCCCGCTCACAGGACAGGTTGGTTGATCTGGGGTAAAAATTGTCATGATCTTCCCAACACGCCTCGGGTAAGGCAATCAATTTGCCTATGCGATCTTTGGGGGGAGGTTCGCTTGATGCCAGTAGGGAAGAACACCTATTCCCAGCCCAACCGATAGGTCAGGAAAGAAAGCCGACGGGTCGTTGTAGCCCCCCGGGAAAAACAAGAGGACCTTTATCCTTCAACCCCCCAGTTTTCTTGATCTTGCCTTGGTTCGCTAAGAATGCGATACGACGTTACCTCTACCCTTGAAAATCCACAAACAACACCTTTAAAAAAACCATGTGGCTGCGGACTGCCTAGCTAAGAGTCGCATTTGTCTCTTCATGAACCGCCAGGGCTCACGATAGTTCCCCTGGAAACAACTCTCTGGTCAAAGGAAACTCACTTTGAATGGGCACGAAAAGTGGTCTTTCAAAACACCAAAAGCGGACATAGAGTTGGAACTCTGCTCAAGAGCTGTGGCCTGCAAGCCTGCAAAACAAAATAACCCCCCCCAACAACAACAAACGACAAGTGGATCTCTCTCTCTGATATGGGTGTGTCTTTGATCCGGATACCACTTTCTTGTTTGTCTTAACAGGGAGCCAAAAGGAAAAGCCACAATTCTTGGGGGTCCCTTTTGAAAAAATCCTGATAATTGAACCAACATTGCAAAAGAGGCTACTCTCAAACAAACTCACACACACACACACACACACACCACACAAACACACCCAAGTCGAGTGGCACCCACCCGTTTTCCCCGACGGCACGCGCCTCTGGCTCTGGCTCAGCTCCTGAGGAAGGCTTTGCAGTGGACTTACAAATTCTCTCAGCTGCCCAGAGGACCCAACAAATAGAAGGCTCACCTGCTGGATTGATGATGGAAAAGGCCTTTTGGTCCTTAGTAACATTAGTGCCTCAGTTGCCGAAAGGACCAAGAAATAAAGGGTTCACGTCTTGGGGACATGGCCAAACGTGAGCCAACAAAGGGGGAAACTGAAAGGTCGAAAGGTCTGAGATTGTGGCTTCCCAGGGCTAGCACCCCGACTTCCCCCAGCAGGCATTATGGGTCTGGTATGGTCTGTCTTTTGTTTTTTAAAGGGACATCTCAAGGAAAGCTTTTATTTGGGAAACCACCCAGTTTGGGGCTTGAAACATTTCAAGACACACCCATATGTCACTCATATGTTCATCGTCCCCCGTTTTGTTCGGCGCTGCAGTCTGGGTGCTGGTCAGGGTGCTGTTGTAATCTCCCATGCTATCTGGTGTCTATGCTGGTGTAATTTGTCCCGGTTGCTTCTGTTAAAGATTCTTCTTTTCAAACGGAATGATTCGCCTTTCGAAAACACACCGTGCAGTGCTAATATGTGCATCAGGACGATTGATCTTTTTTGGAGGGAGTTTCATTTCAGAACGCTTACTTGCGTTTGTGTTGCTCTCCCTTCAGCAAAGGGTCCAACCCTTGGTTGCTGTTGAGCCCTCTGCACAAAAAATAACTTTATGTGGGTTTAGTGGAAACCCCATTGATTTCCCAAAAGGTTAAAGTCTAAAGATCCAACCCAATAGCTGTCAAGTACCATGTCCAACCTTTTGTGGCGTGGCTCAGGCTGATCGTCAAAGAACAACGCCAGGTCGCCAGCGGCATTGAACTTCGCTGGCAAAATCTACCGCTGAAGTACACGTGAAACCCTGGGCGCAACCTAAATTGACAAAGCCACAGAGACAAAAGGCAATGGAAAAGCAAATTGTTTCTAGGTCCTCGATAGAATAAGGGTACCCTTTTTCCGTAGTCTATTTTAGTAGGGTCCCCCACAGGGGTGAGAAAGGGCACTGGGGGACCTAGGTTTCCAGGTCCAAAGGGCAATCGCAAAGAGCCAGTTCGGACCCAGAAATCAGCTGATCACCTTTTGGGCTGGCCAAACATGTGCCAGAATGGGAAAGCCAAAACCCAGAAACTCCAAGTACCTCCTGAGGATGGCTCTTGGGGGGTAAAAAGGGGTCGTTCAGTACCTCCTTAGAAGGTGGACCTGGGAAAGGTGACCAGGTCGGCTTTGGACAAGTGAGTTAGTCCTCAGTTGTGCAGTGACCCTGGAAAAAAAGGGAACCCTTTTTTGGGCTTGGACCATTTTAGTGGGGCTTCCACCAAAAAGAAAGGGGAAAAAGAATCGGAGCCACTGAACAACTGAGATTCATCCGAGACTCGCAATCGAAATCCTGCAGTTTCCCACCTGAACAAAGTCCTCGAACCCTTCGGCGCTGGGGATTTCCAGAACGGGACGAGTTTAAGCAATTCTCGGGCATTCATGTACTTAAGGGGTGCAAAACAAAACAAGCGGTCAAAACCATGCCCTTCAAACATGAGGGAACCATTACACACATGAGAGAGCCACTATACACACATTGACGTCGGCGGTATTTTTGCTGAATGCATGTCAAAACGATGCGGTGCCTGGCAGAAGTCAGCTACTAATTCAAAATTGACGCACTCCGTTCCAGAAGATTGCATTGCCCATTTGGCATGGCTCCCTTTTTCTTCGACACATATTTTTCCGTACGCTGAAGTAGGAGTAGCCCCTGCTGGTTAATCCAACATCTCACGCCCGTCCTGCATTCGCGGAAGCTTCAAAATGCCGCCCGAAGCTTAAGCTGCCTGAGCCGCAGTGTATGACGCGAGCAGATCACTGGCCAAGATACTCGTGCTCATGCGGAGTCCACAAGTAAGGAACCTGCATTTCTGAGCTCACATTATTTTCCAGTGACCGGGCCGCCCTAAGCAAAGGCTCTCAGAACCTTAGAAGGGATCTTCAGATGAATGTCGCATGGTGTTAAAACTTGGCTAGTTCCTCGTTATGGTTGCCACAAAGGGGCCCCTTTGTTTCAACCAACTGTCTCTGCATGAGGCGGCGCAAAACTATCAGGGTTTCTCCAAGCAAACATGAGAAATTAGGCCTGGCCCCCTGGTTCTTGCGGGACACTTGTGATTTCTCCTGTGTCCTCACAAACGACCATAGACAAATCGGGAATGTTGACCCAACCTCACTTTTCGCGACTGCTGGTTCCCACACGTCACGGAGTAGACAGTTTTCCCACTTGTGATACTGAAGTGTCAATGACCTTGTTGACGCCGAGGGCCATCTTTTTTCACAAGGGTACTCCTTAGGACCTTTCAGGTGGTTCGTTTCCTTTTGGGTCCCAGATGACTCCCATCTTGAGAACCACCCACGAGTGTCCAAACCCAAACTTTCCATCCCCTTCTTCCCCGACTCAACCCTACCCAGCTCCAATGATCTCCAGAGGGTCCCACATTAAAACTCATAGCCGTGTTGGTATTCCGCAGCAAGCGGAGGTGAAGCGAAGGGGCGAGGGAGGAATTGCATTATTCCCCCACACATGAAATCAACCCACTGGCACGCTGAACCAAGGACACACCATCAGTTGGAAGGGTCCTGTGACGCCTCCAAACACCGCAGGCCCGCAGCCCACGAAAAAGGGCGAAGCAAACCAATGCAATCATGGAAGTTCCCACCCCACCAGGGAGAGAAAGGGCCTCTAAAATGCTCAAATACCAGGGCTTTCCAAGTTTAAACTTTTGTTCTGGCGGCAGCCACCACTAAAGGAAACAAACAATCAATCGTTCAAACGTTGGAAATTTGATTTTGGACAAGTTAGACAACCTTTGCGAATCGCGAGCATCTGTACAACTCGGTCGTCCTCAGTCGCATTGCTCTCAGGAAGGTGCACTGATCCAAAACTCAGATAGGAACTCAGTTTGCGGCGGCCTTAACGGTGTTCCAACAAGAAAAAATCACCTAAAAGGTGACAGGTCAGCCCCTCAGTGGTAGCTGAAAGCCAAGCAAGCCCCTGCTTCTGACTGTGACCAACCCCAAACAACAGTCCATGAAAGGACCTCAGACACATGGATCCGGCAGAGATTGCGTGGATGTCTCAGGGTTGAGGCTCGAAACGCTTCTTTGTCGTTCAATTCCGGACCCGTTTCAGTGCCACCGATCTCTGCCGCCTTCTAAAGGATTCTACTGTCGAATGCCAAACGACAGCCAGAGTTTTGAGAACCCACAAGTCTCGCTCAAAACCCCAAACGGACCATCAACAATCCAATCGGGCGCTACAAGAATCATAGCTGGCGAAGAACGCAACAACACGCTCAGAACGCTCTCACCAACGAAACACCGCTTTGCGGCAGCTCTAGCAAAGCAGGCTTGGTTGGCGTGCTGAGACAGACTCTGGCCACACTATGTGAACCACATGGGAGAAACCTGCTCGCGGGAAGAAACCTGCTCGCGGGAAGAAAGGGGCTCATGGGATGGTGCTTGCAAAGGGAGCGCGAACGCGCAAAGATCGAGTGTCTGCAGCAAGGTGCAGGCCAAAGAGGCTGCTAAGCAGTCTGGCCAATGGTACCGTACAACAACGTGGCATCCTCGACAAATTGGCCAGCATTAGGGTGGAGGCTGCGGGAATGGGAGATCGGTAGCATGTGACCCACCATG